GTAATTTGCTTGGATATTTGTCCCTTTTCTTGCGCTTCCCTCCATTCCTTCCATTCCCACTACAAAAGCCCTTGCAACTCAGCTGCCTTCCCTCCGAGGTTCCTCGAGGTTTTGCAACCATCTTCCCGTCCCTCTTTCACCCCTTCTGGCAACGTCTTATCATGCAACATTTATGCCTTGCGCGCCGCCCACCGTCTTGCCTTTCCTCCACCCGGCAACTAAATCGTACTTGCCCGCCCCCGCCCGGACTTCGAACCCGTTTCTCTCCTCCGCTTCCGCCGCTGTCTGCCTCTACTTCCCCTTCCGCATCGCGCACCCATCTTGTCTTACGCTCCCCACTTTTTACCCCCTCCGCCGCCGTCTCAGCCTCATCTGCCGCTGGCGCTTGGCGTGGCCAATCGTTGCCTGAGGGAGGAAGATCTCGGCGCCATCGCTATCGCGCCCCGCCCGCCGGGCCTAGCGCCCGAAGCGTCAAAGGCCGGCGCGGGCGATTACCGCCAGCGCCCAACCGTAAACTTCTTGTGGGGCGTCGCCGCGGTCGCCACCGGCCGCCCCGCCGCCTTCCTCAATCAGTATCTCCGCCGCCTCAGTCCCAGCACCGCCCCCGGCCCACCCCTGCCGCCTCCCCCCCGCCGCCCCAGCCCCACGCCCCCACTCTGCCCTGCCGTTCCCCGCTCCTGCCGTCGCCTGTCCGCCCCTCGCGGCTCCTGCTCATGCCGCCGCCCCCGCCTCCACCCCTGCCGCCGTCCGCCGTCACGGCGTCAAGGCGCCGCCGCGTGTTGGCTTCCGGGTAGGCGCCTCCGGGCGACCACAAGAACTCGGCCGAACAGCGCAAATAGGTGGGCGCGTGACTAAGGAAGCTCGCACTTGCCGAAGAAGGCAATCAGGTCGGATCCAGTTTGAATTACAATGAGGCAGGCAAAACATCCAAAATTTCATCACGGTGGAAGTGTTGGCACGGACTAGGAAGTACAAACTTGCAAAGGAAGTATATGAGGTCGGACAATTTTTGAAGTAGAAAAAGGAAAAACTACAAAAAATGTCAGTTATACAATGCACGCGGTGGTTCGTTGAAATGCGCACACACTTGCTAAGTGAGAGAATCCATTTGGTCTACTGTTGATTGAAATGAGATTTATTGTGATATTTCAAAACGACAAAATGCACGGTAGAAGTCGAGGGGGGTTCAAGAAAACATTACTTAAAACCGTTCAGAGATTTATAAATTAATTTTGAGTTTGCGACTTTTCGAAACAACCAAAATTGCAACATTGCTGGTCACAGTCGCCAATTAAGAACTCACTAACGAAAATAGTGCACAGGACCGTGGATTGACACGATTTTGGCGCACAAAGTTAACTAGCAACAGATACTGTAAAAAAGTCATCCCAAATCGAACTACGTATTAGTAATTAGAACTTCGGCTAAGCCACATAGTATCAAGTTATTTAATTTGTATGTATAATAATTACCTATTACATATAGTAATTAGATCTTACCGCTGAAGCTCCTTCAATATTTCCACACACATCATACATTGCAATAGACCAAGTATAATCGCTATTATCTATAATATTTATTCTTATACTATTACAAAGAGAATGATGTTTTGTGATGACCTGTAGTTAGGGGGATTTGAAATGAAATTGGGTGTTTTTGAACAAACATAAAACATAAAGTTTTGGTGTTGATTAGTTTTTTACGAGTGATTTTCTCCATTTAAGTTAATAATAATTAACCTACTTATTTCATAATAGACATTATAAATATAAAATATATAATAAGAACTATAATTGTCATTTTTATTACTATCTTTGCCATTAGTTATTAGAGAACGCCCTAATTGTTGAAATATGTTTTAATTCACATGATCTACTTTAAAAGTTACTATTTCAACAAAAATGAATTCTGTAGATTAAAAATTGAAAAATGTTTAATGATTTACAAAGAACCTGCTTGAGTAAATCGAATACACAAGATATATACAATCCATCATATCACGTTCTAAAAAAATTCTATCGAACGCTACCAATGACGTTAAAAGTGCAAACATGAACACATACCGTGTCCTCTGAAATTGCTTATTTTAAAGTTCCTTGTCTGGTCCGCGCAATGGAGAGAGCAGTATTTGTTTCAACATACTTCAACCATTGAGCATTCCCTCGCTAATGATTACTTAAGTGTTCCTCCTATCTTATTTCACTTTGGAAGATTATTTCAGCTTCACTGTTTAATGTTTTCTTCACAGAAAATTAATACTTCGCGTGCATTCGCTCTGTCGCACGTAATGATGCCGGTGAACTACTGGAAGTAACTTATCCTCCCACGTAAGGCTGCTTTTGTCAGCTTTAATTGCCCATTATGCAGTAAAGGTGGACGACCACAGTGTCTCCTTTCCTGAGGTCATTAAGGAAATGTAAATGGAGAATAACTTTTTAAAGAAAAAGATTCATCAAAGAAAGTGCACTATAAACCTCAAGAAAAAAACAGTGATATCGGAAACGAGTGCAGGAATACAATTTGAGAAATACTTACAGCAGTGGTTTAAAATATTTCGAAATAATCTTCAGAGAGTGATCTTTGATCGAATGCGTGACGTATTTTGTCACTTTATATTCGACAGCATTCAAATATTATTTAATACGAATTAAATTAGTAGATTGAACTCATTACTTTAAAATAATTTTCTATGTATCTAATTTATAAGTGGTGGTTGAATCTAAGAAGAAACTTGTAACAATACTATAAATCTGTAGATACCTTTCATGCCACTATTGGTCATATGGTACTGGTGGCAGGAAAAAGGATCTTAGATACGAAATACAAAAGAACACGTCCTAAAATCCTTTCTTTCGCACGTACCTCTTTAACTATTGCGATAACTAGTGGTGAGTCTACGAATGAACGAATATTTATACATACAATTGATTCACAGTTGCAGAATAATTTGCTTTGCAAGTACGGCAAATTTTTGAACAATTTATGTTAGATTAGTTGGCATCGATAACCATGCTGTTTTCATGCATCATCCATACCTGTAGATTCACCCCTTTCTACCATCCTTTACACCGTGGCAGGCAGCAACTCATCGCCACTGTGAACCCTGCGCAGGAAAGTAGATAACATCATTGGATACTGACGACATTAATTACTTCCGGCGTCCAAAAAGGAGTATAAAATTAAAGGTAATAAGAAAACGTAGTAATAAGGAGCCCAATTTTCGATGAAAATTAAAGTATCACTGAGTTCTCAAGGGAAGACGAAACATAAATCAGCCCCTGTGTTCTCGCTTGTGTGATCAAAGATGTCGCACAGTGCAGACTAAATGAAGGGACAATGCTTCTGGTAGTGCGCCACCAGTTTGTCGACCCATCGAATACACAGCGTTGTGCGTAAATAGGCTGCATTTCCAATCGTGTTCCTTTCTGACATTTAAGGTAAATTTGGCACATTGTTTGTCAGCTCGGTCCCTTGCACTGTTTTGGAAGACGCAACAATCAATACACGACAGTAGGGGAGTTGAAGCGTGGACGTCAGAGTGATGAAGGCGGAGTCGGTGGCGGCGAAGGTGGTGGCAAAGGCGATGACGAAGACGCAGGTGGTGACGAAGACGCAGGCGGTGACGAAGACGCAGGCGGTGACGAAGACGCAGGCGGTGACGAAGACGCAGGCGGTAACGAAGGCGGCGACGAAGGCGAAGGCGGTGATGAAGGCGAAGGCGGTGACAAAGGCGAAGGCGGTGACGAAGGCGAAGGCGGTGACGAA